CCCCAACACTGGAGTCACAGGGGCATGCCAACTCTCCCAGCTTTTTGATCTAGGATCTGGGGACAAAATCAGGTCCTTATGCTTCCAAAGTAAGCACTGCATTGACTGAGCCCTCTCCCCAGCCTGTGACCTGTCATTTTAAGTGACAGAAGGTAGTCCTGCCTAAATGTTAGGGTTTGGACCCTAAAGGCAATGGTGTAGGCGCAGTCACCAGCTTGTGTTGCCCCTGGGGTGTGGCCTTTAAGAGTTGAGCCTAGTGCATGAAAATGAGGTCATTCTCCTCATTGGGAAATGAGGAAACACTGGGACCCTGGCCCTTCCTGCCTCTGTGTTTTACATCCTCTGTCACAAGCTTGCTGCCCTGGTGCAAAGGCCTCACCACAGGCTCACGAACACAGAGACAACTGTCCACAGCCTGGACACTGAAACCATGAAGGAAACAGAGCTTTCTCCTTCAAGTTGGCAGCCTTGAGTATTTTACCACAGCGACAGAAAGCTGACATGACGGCACGTTAGTAACCAACATCACTCATTCTGATTCTTGGAATCCCCACCGTTCACAGCCAGATGTGCCTGGCCAGCGCCTGGAGGGCGAAGTTACACAGATTTTAACTGGAATAATCCCAGAAGAGGATTCTGATGGGCTCAGCTAAAGTCATATAGAAAAGAGAGGGGAAAAAAAGAGCAGAAAACACTAAAATGCCCACCTGCCTAGAGGATTCCAGGTATGTAAACTGTCCTTCCTAATTCCTCCTTTTTACATGGAAGAAGCATCGGGCCAGGCTGTGGTGGCGCACACCTTTACTCCCAGCCTAGAGGCAGAGGCAGGTGGATCTCTCTGAGTTTGAGGCCAGCCTGATCTACAGAGTTCCAGGACAGCCAGGGCTACACAGAGAAACTCTGTCACAAACAAACAAACAAGGCTTGCCATGGGCTGGGAGGATGGCTCAGGGGTTAAGTGAAAATGTTCTTTCAGAGGACCCAGGTTCGGTTCCCAGCACCCAGACGGGGGCTCACAACTGTCCATAACTTCACCTCCAGAGAGCACAATACCCTCTCTGACCTCAGCAGGTACCAGGCATGCACATGGTAAACAAGCATACACGAGAGCATGACATTTATACACATAAAATAATATTCAGAAATCTAAATTTTAAAAATTACATTTATGTGTGTGTGTGTGTGCATACATGCGCATGAGCAAACGAGTATGCATGTGTGTGCCACTGTGCCCTTGTGGAAGTCGGAGGTCAACTTGCAGGAACTTTGTCCTCCACTGAGTGACCCTGAGGATTAATCTCAGGCCTTCAGACTTGGTGGCAAGGGCCTCTGCCCACTGAGTCGTCTTGCCACACTTTCTTTAATATAAGAAAAATGATTTTTTTGTCTGGGTCTCACAGTGTTGCCTGGATAGCAGCCGGGAACATATACACAGCAAATACAAGAAGAAGACTGTTGGTTCTGGGAATTATACGGTGTGGCCAGGAGAGAGTGGTAGCAAGCATTTTCTCTCGATTTAAAAAAAAAAAAAATAGTGGCTGGGTGATGGTGGTACACACCTTTGATCCCAGCACTCGGGAGGCAGAGCCAGGTGGATCTTTGTGAGTTCGAGCCCAGCCTGGTCTACAGAGTGAGTTCCAGGACAGCCAAGACTACACGGAGAAACCCTGTCCCGAAAAACCAAGGGTGGAGGTGTGCTTGCTAATGTCTGTGTGTCACATGAGCATGTGGGTGGAGGTGGAGGTCTGAGTTGACCTTGAGTGTCCTTATCAATCACCATCTCTACTGTTTAAGACAAAATCTGTCACTGAACCAGAAGCTCTTTGATTCCCCCAGCCCTGCTGGCCAACGCATTTCCTGTTTCCTCCTGGAAGCAATGAGATTACAGATATGCACTGCCAAATTCAGCTTTTCAATGTGAGTTCTGGGTATTTGAACTCAGGACCTTGTGCTTGCCTACCAGGCACTTTGGTGATTGAACCATCTCCACAATCCAGGGGTAGCAATCACATGTAGAGGATAGAACATCGTCATGAAGATGTGTCTTAAAGAGCACACTCGTACCCAGTAGTGGCAAACACCCGTAATCTCAACACTCAGGAAGCCCAGGAAGTGGATCAGGAATTCAAGGCCAGCCTCAGCTACTTAGTGAGTCTGAGGCCAGCCTGGACTAATGTAGTTAGTGGTTTGAATGAGAATGTCCCCCATAGGCTCAGATGTCTGAATACTTGGTCCCCAGTTGGTGGAGCTATTTGGGGAGATTTTTACAGTGAAGATTTGTTGGAGGAGGTGTGTCATTGGAGGTGGGCTTTGAAAATCTAAAGACCCTGTGCCCTTCCAGCTCATTCTCTCTGTATAGTGCTTGTGGTCCAAGATGGAAGCTCTCAGCTTCTTGTTCCTTCATCATGCCTAGGGCTTGTCATCATGTCTCCATCATGGACTAGGACCTCTAGAACTGTAAGCCAAAAT